CCCCCCCCCCCCCACCCCATGCCCTGACTCTTGGACCCCCCACATCCCCACCCCCCACCCTGAGCACCAGGTTGGCGGCGGGCTGAGCGGGGCCTGCGGCTGGGACCCCAGCTGGCAAGGGGCCGGCAGCCAGAACCCCAGACTGGCAGCAGGCTGAGCGGGCTGGCAGCCGGGACCCTGGTTGGCAGGAGCCAGCAGACGGAACCCCAGACCGGCAGCGGGCTGAGCCGCTCGGCCCGCTGATGGTCTGGGGTGCCGGCCCCGCTCAGCCCGCTGCTGGTATGGGACTCTGGCTGCCGGCCCGGGGTTCTGGCTGTTGGCCCCTTGCCAGCCAGGGTTCCGGCTGCAGGCCCCGCTCAGCCCGCTGCTGGCCTAGGTGAACGGAACCCCAGGCCCGCAGCGGGCTGAGCAGGCCGGCGGCTTAAGATCAGCATTTTAATTTAATTTTAAATGAAGCTTCTTAAACATTTTGAAAACCTTGTTTACTTTACATACAACAGTAGTTTAGTTATATATAGACTTATAGAGAGAGACCTTCTAAAAAACATTAAAATGTATTACCGGCACACGAAACCTTAAATTAAAGTGAATAAATGAAAACTCGGCACACCACTTCTGAAAGGTTGCCGACCCCTGATCTAAACTGATACCTCCTCACTCATGTGATCCCCATGGTTCCATTAGCTCTATTGTTACAGCTCTCCCCACTCCACACGATGCACGGATGGAGAGGTTTTCCCTTCATAGGATAACTGCAGCATGGGGGCAGGAATTCAATTCCTGTAGTTCAGGTTGTTTGTCTGTTGTCTACCCCAGAAGTACAGTGGTACGGGGGTGGTGTGTGTGGCTCTGACTCAGTGCTCAAGGGGCTGGAAGCTGATCTAGATCCTTAAACCTCATTGTGTACATCTGTTTCTCTCTGTTTCTTCTTGCAGACAGCGGCTGGACCTGATGCGTGAAATGTACGACAGGGCAGCAGAAGTGCCTTCTAGCATCCTTGAGGACTGTGACAACGTCGTGACCGGTGGAGATCCCTTCTACGACCGCTTCCCCTGGTTCAGACTGGTTGGCAGGTGAGAGCCTTACTCCTCCTTTTTCTAAATCCATCTGCAATCCAAACACACCCACAGAAGGAAGCGTTGCTTGGTTTGATAGGGACAACTGGTGCGGTGCGGAGAGACCATAGTGGCTGCTGTGGGTGAAAGGGTTCCACCAGGCAGCAAGCCAATATCCAAGGAGCGCTATTTTCCGCAATCACTTTTCTCTGCCGTCTGCATGGGTACTCAAGAATGATTTTCTGGGACCCCTACTGCTGCCAGGCATTCGGTGCCCTGCTACAGTGAGTTGGTGGTGAACTTCCCATCGCCTTCTTTGAAGCTGTGCCTAATAACCACAAGGCACGAGCTCTCAACCTGGGGATGGCAGCCCCCTGCCCTTCCCATCCTGCAGCGTGGGAGGGGGATTCTGGGTGGGTTGTGTGTGGCCCGATGATGGAAACAGAGCTGTGGAAGGGGACAGGTTGAGAACCCTGCTGTCAGGTTTTCACGTCCATGGATGTGTGTTTGTGTGCACACACGCAGGCGTGCTCATTGGCATCTGAACATCTTGGTGTGCTGTACTGTATGTGCCATGTCGCCTCATGTGCTTCCCACCTGCCAGTTGGAAGGGCACACTGCTGTCAGCTAGGAGGTGTCGAAGGGACCGGTCCTGTCAGTAGGGTGCCGCCGAACGTGACCAACATTGGTGCAGTCAAGGCCTGATCCTTGCCAGTTAACAGCAGTGGAAGGACTCCCCTTGATGCCAGTGGGCAGTCTACTGGGGCCATAGTTGACAGAGCTACGTTCCTGCTTTGCTGAATCCTCTGCAAAGTCCGAGGTGGCAGTTCCCATCTTTCACACCAATTGTTAGCTGGCGACACTGGGGGCTTCTTTGTAATACACTTTGGACAGGCAGGTCTTATTTCCCACTCCCCTCCTGAATAGCGATGGTCCTTGGTGTAAAAGAAAAAGCCTATTCTTTCTCTCTCTTCTGTTTGGAATAGCTGGTGTTAACCTGTCTTCTATCTTGTTGTACTAACCTTAGTTCAGATATCTCTGGCTGCAACAGCTCTCCTCTTTTCAACACATGCATGAGCGAGCGCATGGCTGATCTCACCCCCTCCCCCACCTTCTCGAACCCCGACTCCGACATCACCGAGCCTGCTGACGAGCAGCACGTGGGGAAGGAGGAGGAGGAGGAGGAGGAGGACCTGGAGGAAGACATCTTTCCGGAGTACCCGCTGTATGATGGCCGGGATCCATTTTACGACCGCTCCCCCCTGTTCAGTTTAGTAGGAAGGTTGGTGAGGTTTTAGGAGAGCATGCTGGGAAGGAACTAGCTCTTTCGTACGAGAGAACTGCTTTCTGACACTATTCCCATGTTGAGGGCATGCGTTCCACAGGCACTCGGGATGGGTTAGCTGAACAGAGTCCTTAAAGAGATGGCCAGCAGGGCAGGTGTACTGGTCAGTGTGATGGTAAGCCAAGTGTCGATAGGAAATGAAGAAGGGAGAGGCTACTCTAGCCAGCTCATCTTTAGAATGAGCTTCAAGACAGGTATCACAGAGTCAACGGAGACCAGGATTGAGTAGCCACTGGATTCATATGGTCTCTTTAAAGAGAAGAGTTTCATGTGATAGAGAATTGTGTGGTGATGACACAGAGGTATGTTTCAGTTCTAATTTACTGCTGGAAACATTTATGATGAAATGTCTGCAAAATGGGTGGCCTTCTGCTCCTGCATGGGTTGTGAGGGTCACATCTTTGCAGTCATGGAATGGAAATCCCATGCATGACTCTGACGTAGATCCTCACCAGCAAGAGGAGAACGTACAGGCTTCTGGGGAGTGGTGGAATGGCCAAGAGACCAAGGTGTAACTCAAGCACAGTGAACTGTAAGAGAAGGCCCATCAGTTCTGATCGTTAGGAGAAGGATTCAGAGGCAGCCAGTGGCCCTGAGTGGTGTGTGAGGAAGAGATGGGAGGTGCAGAAAGTGAGCACAGTACTACAAGGCAGGCAGGTCCAGTTGGTAGCGAGTGGGATTTCCCCAGATGACTCAGGGAAGAGCTGTGGGGAATAAGGTTGGCTTCAAAAGCTAAAACCAAGGGCTGTGGAGGGAGAGGATTTTATCTTTTTTTTTTTTTTTTTAATAAAAGACATATATTTTTAAGCCACCACTACTGCTTTTGGCCAGCACGTGGATGGAAACTGTTTTCTGCAGTGGTTCGAACTAGAGCCATGCAGAAAAGTGTTGTGTGGGAAGAAGAGCTGCCAGAAGTTTTCAGGTGGTTTGGAGAAAAGCTCTGGAGTGGGGAGAGCTTCTCTGCCCTGCAGGGCTGGGAGTGGACTCTGCCCAAAGGGAAAGAGAATTGGTTTTTTTCTTTTGCTAGTGAAAACAGAATGTTTCAATGGCTCATTCTGGAAAAGAACTCCAGATTTTGTGAAATTGGTGACATGTTTGATTCAATCAGCCACCATTTCATTCTGCTAGAGAAAACCACCTGAAATTGCCAAGCATGGCACCAGATAGCCCAGTTCTGCTTCAGACTTTTCCAAGGGGAAAGAAGAGGTTTTGCCCATAGTTGTCTCAGGGACTCCTGTCCTTTAAAAATTGGGTCAAATTCAGACTTGGTGCAAGCAGCTGCAGCTTCACTGTAGTCAGTGGCATTGCTTCCATTTACACTGGGTCGTAATTTGGCCTGTGAGCTGCGAATATGTTTGTGAAAGCAAGAAGCCTAGGCAAGAAACTGAGTTCTGCTTTCCAGCCAATGCGACTTGGGCAATGGGACCGAGAAGGGGAGGAGAAGGGACCAGAAAAGAGAGAGAGGAAGATGGGATAAGAGTCACTGCAGCCTCAGACTGAAAGAGCTGGGTTCTTCCACTTTTTTTTTCCTCTTGGGGGAATCAGAGATTTTAAAAACAAACCAAACTACCAGATGAACCGAACCCCCCATCCTGTGGGATGTTCCTGGGAGGTTTTTCCATTTGAATCTTCCCAATTCTTTTGAGTCAGACACAGAATTGGCTTTCCCTGCGCAGCAGCTGTGCCGATCACATTTCTCGTGAAGTGTGCTTGGATTGGTTTATGATTGGATCCTTGTCTTTGATTAGTTTCCCCCCTATTTTCTTTATTTTTTTTTCTTTTTTTTTCTTTTTCTTTTTTAGCTGCTGGCTCTCTCTCCAAAGCTTGAGCAAAAATTGGGGGTTATTTCACTTTTGTCTTCTTTTTGAAAGGCTTTTCTTTGGTCTGAGCATGCCATCTTTGCACCTCACCAATCTTGTGGTTAGTGTCTCTGCCCTCCTTCCTTTTCCTTTAGTGACATATTCCCTCCCTCTCCCTATTCCTCTCTTCCTCTTCCTCCCTCTTCAACCTTTCTGGTTTCAGTCTGCTTCAAGATGTGCTCACCTGTTTTTTCATATTGTTATGATGGAAGTTTAACAGGCTTATGATCCTTCTGCAAGATGCCCAGAGTCAAATCTGTATTCACAGACACCAAAGTAAAGCCATCTCCAATACAGGGCATCATAGAGGATTCAGGTGGGTGCCAGACTCAATTCCCTCCTTCCCCCGAGCATGGCACCTTATTTGATCCCGGACACTCAAGAGGATTCCGATCCTCTGACCCTGCAGTTCCATCTTATGAGGTGATTCACTGGGAACGGAAGATACTCTGCATCTCCCAGGAAGGGCTCAGCACCTTGTAGGATTGGGGTTTAAAGCTGGTTCTTGCCTTGTGCTTTAATGATCCAATTCAACTGCCGCTGAAGTCAGTGGAAAGATTCCCATTGACTCCAGAGGGAGCTGACTCAGGCCCCAAGATGCATAAGTTCCTCTGGACATTTGAGGCCTGATCCTGCACCTATTGCAGTCAAAGGGATCACTGTCGTGACTTCCCTGGGTGCAGGATTGAGCCCTTGCTGCAGGAATCACCCAGGCTTTACGATGATATTTCAGCTCAGCAGTCAAACCTCTGCTCTGAGGGAGGGCGCTGGAGCCAAATGTACAGATAACAAAGCTGACCACATAGGGATAGTCACAGAATCTTGGTTGCCTCCCTCTGAAGAAGCACCCTAGCTACTCTGTGTGGCGATACTTGTTAATATAGTGGCTTTGCTTCCTTCAATCCTATGCCACTCCATTCATCAGAGCATGAGTATGATGCAGTCCTGTAGAGGCTGCACACTGCACTCCTTCAGACTCGGGCTGGGGATGGCTGCCTATCAGTCTGCTTTTCCAATCTGGAGACCAGCTACAAACAACAGTAAAAGTTATGGGGGGAGGAATTTTGTACACCCAGTACCAAGTTTAGTCTGATGATGGAATATGCTGACCACACACAATGCCACTGTGGACTGAGGTCATTACAAAACTCCTGCTGAAAGGAACCTCCCACTTCTGTTGCCTGTTCTCATCACTCTGGACAAAGGCATGCTGCAGCTTTGTGAAAGAACTCAGCCCCTGGATGGAAGGCAGCTGAGCAGGCTCACTACGAGTCAGAGGTGATGTGGATAGGAAAGGGGGAAGCATTTTGAGGAGCTGATGTGATCCATGGCCTTGCCCACTGTTTGAGAGCATCTGCCCTCTGTTTGTCAAGGGGAGGTGCAGTCCTGAGACGCTGGTGAACAGTTTGCTGCTCCTAAATAGAGGCAGTGGCCAGCAAGGACCTATCCCAGTTTTGATTAGCCAGCAGACTGCAGTGTGGGCCTAGTCATGGGGATACTTGTTTACACCAGTGCAAGGCTAGGCTTCCTGCGACATTATCTCAGCACAGAGGGAAGGACGAGATGGCCTCTTGGGGTCCCTTCCAGCCCTATATTTCTGTGGTTCTAGGAAGACCACAGAGAGGCTTCAAACTCTTCAGAATGCGGCGGCCCAAGTTCTGGGTAGCCCAGACCGATGGGTGTACCACATTCTGCCGTGGCTTCCAAATCCTTTTCAAGGTTCTGGTTCTAGCTCCAGTGATGGCCATCTGAAAATGTCCTTACAGCAGCAAAGAGGGGATGGTGCATCTGGCTGAGACTGGACTCTGGGCTGCATTCTGAAATTCTGGTCTAATTACAGGTAGAATCTTAGCAGTTTAATCCTCAGTCAAGAAGAGATGGCAAATTGGTAATAGCCTTCCGATGACCTCGCTGAAAGGGGAAGTGTGATGCTGCCAGGCCTACGGTTTTAAGGATGAAGTTTAAATGTGCAAGTTTTCAACGTTAAAAGTCACCTGTTACACATATCAGTAGTCTGCTCCAGAGTGTGCCCTGCACAAGGCAAAACTGATCCCCCAGAACTAAGATCACCTACAGCCCCGTCTCCACCCCAGTGTCCTCTCTTATCCTGGATGTGTTCGGATTGGATTGCGGTTGCCTATGTGACGTGAGTACCACCAAGGAGACAGCACAAACTGCAGCTGTCTTCCTCTCTCTTTGGCTGCCTTTCTCTCTCAGAACTTTTTGTACTTTCACAATGTAAAGGGCCAGAGAGTAGGGATGCAGTCTTCAGTCAGCACCAGTGCCAGGTGAAGATTCAGTTACTGTCCAGGATTAATGTTCTCATCAGAGTACAGTTTCACCCAGGTGTTAAAGTGCAGACCAGATGTACTCCATTCCACCACTGATCCAGTTCTTCCTGGTGCACTGGAGTAGGTAACCATTTGTGACTCTCGCCAGCACCAGATCACCAGCTTGGATGACCAGAAACCGAAGTGCTCCAAGGCACTGGCCACTCTTGAAAATGTTGTCCTGGATCACCGTACAGAGGCAATAGCAGCGAGGGATTGGAGCCAGTTGCCATCCAAAGACGCTGCCTCCCAAGTGCTGAGCACAGATGGGGTCTCAAGGGCTGGGAAGCAGGAGCAGATCACTCGTCTGGAAATCTCGGGGTTCCAGGCAGCCTCCAGCTTCTCCGTGTACATGAACATAGTCATTGTGCTGCTTGCTTGTTTAGTTAGGGTGAGACTGAGCCCTAGGCTGAGCCCAGGGGATAGAGGGAAGGCACCCGCGACTCAGGCAGACGTGATTGTCCCGGGAGGGTAGGGGGGAGTGATTTGCTGCAGCCATTGCCAATGTAGCACACTCCTCCTCTTGCGTCAGCCAGCCAGCGCATAGGGGGTGGAGCCAGTGTTCACTCGCCACCCCTCCTTCGGGTCCCCTGGCTGCTGGTGGGCAGGCAGCCCCAGCACCCAGAAGGGCCCAATGTGGCTGTGCAGTGGGATGGCAGCCCCCACTCCCGTGTGCTCCCCAAATGGCTGTGTGGCACCAGGGCACAACCGAACCCTCCACAGGGACCACATTTGCATAAAGAAAGCCCTGTTAGAGCTAGTGTCTGATTTCTGGGTGGGGGGATGGAACTGGTGCTGGTCTGACCAAGGAAAGGGGCTCTCCCCGCCAGCCTGACAGGCAGCTTCTCCTCCTGGGAGTGCTCAGGGGAGGGCTTCAGGTCTAAGTCCGCCTCCTGCTGGCCCCTGTTCATAACTGGTACAGTGAGGTGTCAGCATCGTCACTCATGCATTCAGGCATCCCACATCTGCCCTGCTGCCTGGGCATTAAACTCGCAGGGCCAGATCCTCAGCTGGGGTAAATGGCATAGTAAGTGGGGCTCCACTGATTTACACCAGCTGAGGTTTTGGCCTGTGGTTCCTGGGTGTGACTCACTGAGCATTGTCCACTCCCGGTCTGGTGTCACGGCTGCATAGGGCCTCTCGAGCACTCCTTACTCCGCAGGCAGCTGTGCTGATTTCCATGGCAGTAGGGTACTACTCAGCACACAGCAGGGTGATTGATTCGGAGGAGCCAGCTGCGTTCACAAGGTGGGTGCTTTCTGGGGCTCAGCCCGGGGGGAGCCTGAACCCCGCCCCCTGGCTGTTGCATGGAGGCTCTACCAGCTGGGCACTGACTGAGCAGACCCCTGTTTGAAGGCAGGCTTGCCCCTCTTGGGGATAGGTTTTCATACACTATCCTGGGGATGTGCCGGGCCTCTCTTAAAGCAGGCTGAAAACCCACCATTGCAATAGCTTCTCAGTCTCAGACTCTGGACAGGTGTCTGCATTTCCCAGCCTGTCTGCAGGAGGCTCTGTGCTCTAACCAAGAACTTCCTTTCCTTCACTCTCTCTCCTCCCCTTCTCCTCTTCTTTTTCCTTCCTGCCTCTCTCTTCCTCTGCCTTCTCTCCCCCTGCCCACCCTGGTCCCCTCTTGCCCGTCCCCCTCCCCACACCCTTTAATCTGCAGCAGACCCGTGGTTGTTTCACAGCACCTTCCGTCCTAGTTCTCCAGTTCTCCACAGCAAGAGGTCCTCTTTCTAGCTTCCTTGTTGCACCGACACAGCCCCCTCCTCAGCCCTCCCCACGACGCTGTCGCGCCCAAGGGAGATGACAGGCCGAGAGGTATGCTGGTGCTCACTAACTCGCTGCCACTTTCGCAGGAACCTGACGTTACTGTAGCTCTGCCTCCCACCAGCCTGTCCTAAGCACGCTGAGTCCCCCCCCCACACACACTTCCGGCTGACCCTGGCTGCCTTTCTTTAGTTTTGCTTTGCAGCACCATGTTGTGATGTGAGCGGTGAACTGTGAGCCCAGCTGCCATCTGGCCACGGAGCGTGTTTGGAAACCCCAGGCTGGGGGCGCAGTGACCCCTCTCCTGTGTTACTTAACTCTTCCAGGGCATTCGTGTATCTCAGCAACCTGCTGTACCCAGTGCCACTAGTGCACCGTGTTGCCATCGTCAGCGAGAAGGGTGAGGTGAAAGGCTTCCTGCGCGTGGCAGTCCAGGCTATCTCAGGTACATTGGGCAAGCAGCAATGGGTTTCCAGTGGCAGGCGGATGCTCTGAGCTGGCCTTGCCCCAGTGCCATAGTGAGTCTGGAGAGCCAGTTCTCAGGGCCATTACATTTCATGGAGACATATGCCCTTTCCTGAGCGTGATGAGCCCCGTGCTGTGTGCTCGGGCTGGTGGCACCAATCCATTAGTCCACAGCCTAAGCATTTCTTTAGACCAGGGGTGGCCAACCTATGGCTCCGGAGCCACATGCAGCTCTTCAGAAGTTAATATGCGGCTCCTTGTATAGGCACCGACTCCGGGGCTGGAGCTACAGGCTCCAACTTTCCAGTGTGCCAGGGGGTGCTCGCTGCTCAACCCCTGGCTCTGCCACAGGCCCTGCACCCACTCCACCCCTTCCTGCCCCCTCCCCTGAGCCTGCCGTGACCTTGCTCCTCCCCTCTTCCCCCCAGAGCCTCCTGCACACCACAAAACAGCTGATCTGGAGGTGCGGGGAGAGAGGGGGAGGTGCTGATCGGTGGGGCTGTCAGTGGGTGGGAGGCGCTGGGAGCAGGGAGCTGATGGGGGGCTGCTGATGTATTATTGTGGCTCTTTGGCAATGTACATTGGTAAATTCTGGTTCCTTCTCGGGCTCAGGTTGGCCACCCCTGCTTTAGACCTTGCTCTCCCTGTTGCATTGTGCACAAGACCCCCCGCCCCAAGTGGGCCAGTGGAGTATTGCGCACACACACAGGATTTGCCAGGAGGTATGCCACTCACAGGCCACCATGCAATGTTTTTCTGCTCTAGTAATACAGGGACATCAAGCTTCCACTCGCAGGAATTGTGGGTGCTGTAGTCCAATAGGCATCTCCTGTACTGTCATTAGAACTGCCACAAGAGGGCACTCATCACTCTGTGAGTTATATTGTGTGCTGCTCCCACCCCATGCAACTCGCCTGACTTCAGTGGGTTACACGTGGTGTAAATCAATTCAGCATCAGTTCCCGTGTGCCTGCGTCAATATGTTCCAAGATCCATGCCTTACCGGGACAAATTGCTGTCTCCTGGGGGTGAGAAGAAAATTATTTTGTCCAATTCAGTTCCAGGCTTCCCCATCAATTGGACCCAACCTGATCCGGAAGGACCTCTCACTCATGGCATGCGAGGGGAAGTGGGGCCCGTTATAGATTTAGCATGAATAGAACCTGATCCTGGTGGAACTGACCCATCTGTGAATTATCAGTCACCTTGAGCAAGGTGATTCACAGATGGGGTCAGTTCCACCAGGATCTGGCTCTATTCATGATAAATCTAGGGCTGAGAAAAATTAATAGCAATACTTTTTTCTGGTACTTTTCGTTTCAGGTACATATTCTGCTCTGCAAGTACAACCACTATCCCCAACTCACACATGCACACAAGCTATTCTAATAGGATGGTCTTGCAAAGAACTGAAAACTCTGCCATGTCATGTCATGGTTTTATGATCTGGGCCATCATCTGCTTAACTAGCAAGGGCATTAGTGTGGTGCTGTTGGTACCAATTTATAGATGAGTGTGCACATAGATGGCTGTTAGCTAATGCAGAATTTTTGACTCTGAAACAGAGGCTGGAAAGCACTTCTTGCAACATTTCCATGATTGCCTTTTGGAATTCACTGGTTTTCATCAAGTTCTGCAGCCAGTGACCACTCAAGCATTCCTTGATGAAGAAACTCAGGGAGCAGTGTATGAAAGGTCACAATCCCAGAGACCTTGACTCTGGCTGCGATCTGCTTTGGGAGCGAGTTTTTCCTGCCTTCCTGTAATGTCTTGCTGTGTTTCCTCTTTCAGCGGATGAAGAAGCCCCGGATTATGGTTCAGGAGTACGGCAGTCAGGGACAGCCAAAATATCCTTTGATGATCAGCACTTTGAGAAGGTACAGTATGGCAGCCAATCCCAGGTGAGAATATCTTTCTATGAGCTTAGCTTGCTGGGGAGTGTATTGGGTCCTCCTATTATTCATATCCTGATAACAAGTCCGTTCCTAATATTTTAGCCTATTGGTCTCAGACTGCAGAAGACTAGGAGTGCCCTAGATATGATGCGCTTTGGGTTAGGAGGGGGAGTGATGACCACATCCCTCGTGGGCCTGAAGGTTGGCCTCAGCCACACCAGTACAAACACCGTGACTGCAGTGGCCTGCTAGCAGAGTGGCATGGGCACTGCCCTTCCTGAATGGAACTGGAGCCTCTGGTTCTTTTCACGCAGGCCAGTGAACAGCTGGTAGATGACAGTCACTCAGTACAGACCTAGGTCAGATTGGAACAATGTCTTAGCAGCCAAAGGCTCCCTCTCTCATTACGGATTCCCTGGGCCTCTTGACCCTGTCCCTTCGTCCAATCTGTGTGCCAAACATTAACACTGAGGCTTCAGATGTTGCTGTGGTAGAGGAGATAAAAGCTGCAGCCTCTCATGCCTGACTGGGTGTCTGCCACGCAGTACAGAGGGGAAGGCATGCCAGGCAAGAGACGAAAAGGCTGCTCATGGCCGTTAGCAGGGTGAGCGTGCTATCAGGACTGCAGCCTCCCTACACACACAGCCTCTCTGTTCCATTTCCCCTTGTGCCTGGCAGTTCCAGTCTGAGGCCTGTCCCATGGCGGGGATGTCTCGTTCAGGGACCTCGCAGGAGGAACTGCGGATTGTTGAAGGCCAGGGGCAGATAACTGACATCGGACCTTCTGCAGATGAAGTCAACAACAACACCTGTGCAGGTGAAAGGGTTGTTTTAATCCAGGGGGAAGTGGCGTTGGGCGGGAGCTGTGTACCTAGTAGGAAGCAAACGAATGTTTCACTGCTCACTGGATTGCAAAGGGCCAGAGCCTCAGCAGGGTGTGAACTGCCAGCTCCATTGAAAGCAATGTTTGTGTTGGTATGTGGCATGCCGGACGTTCACTAGGCCTTGATGGATGCTGTCTGGAGTTTTTCTAATGGCTCTCCTCCTCCCCCAGTGACTCCAGATGATCTCCTCCTCGACAGTCCAGAGAAAGTTGCTCTAGATGACCCATTGGAAGCAGTTCTGGACCATCTGACACTGGGCAGCATCTTCACCTTCCGAGTGACAGTTCTGCAAGCCTCCAGCATCTCTGCAGAATATGCAGATATCTTCTGCCAGTTTAAGTGAGATGTCCTCAGATCCCTCTGCTCTGCTGGTGTTTGTTCCCTCTTCCTCCCACTCTGCCTTTGCCTCAATCAGAAGGTTGCACTCCCCAAGGAGCGTCATGAACAGATAGCAGGGGCATGCAACCGCCCTGCCCTTGCTGGATTCCTAAATGAAATGGGATCTCAGCTACGTGGCAGGGGGTCTCTGGGCAGCCCTGAGATGGGAAAGGGCAAGCGCCCAGACCTAGATTGGCCACACTGTCCTCTTCGCTTCTGAATTTTTGTCCAATGCCTCATGAAAGAGGGAAAGAACCGAGAGAGAGTCACGCAGTGCAAAATGAGTCTGTTCATTCACATGAGGCCTGATCCAAAGCCTGCTAAAGTTAGTGGGTGTCTTTCCATGGACGGCAGTGTGCGGCGGATCTGGCCCATGGAGAGCTGACTTTCTGTAGCAGCCTATCTGAACTTATAGAGTGCAGCCCCCTGGGGGGAGGGGAAACGAGTCATCTTCATTCAGGGGTAGTCTACGCTGGCTCCCACCTCGCTCTGTCATTCTCATTTTACCCTGCCGACCACACCGCTGCTGTAACAATCTTCCCCCCTTCGCAGCTTTATCCATCGTCATGATGAGGCCTTTTCAACGGAGCCCTTGAAGAACACAGGACGAGGACCACCTCTAGGGTTCTATCATGTCCAGAACGTTAGTATCACTGCCCAGGCTGTTTTCTCTCTGCCCCGCAATATTCAGGGTCTGTCCAGAGCATAGAAACCTTCAAATCCTGTGCTCCCCAAACTTTTTCTGTTGTGCCCCCCCTTACCCATAAGGGAATCTGTCCATGCCCTGTCGGGGCCCGGGGACTGGGGCTGGAAGTGGAGCCGCAACCAGGGCTGGGGCCAGGCCCGGGAGTGGAGCTGTGGCTGGGGCTGGAGGTGGGAGATGAGTGGAGCTGGATGCAGAGTGGGACTGGGTGGCACTTCCTCCCTGCCCCCCATGGGGCCTGGTTCAGACCCTGCCACGTCCCCCTGAACATTCCTCCGTGCCCCCCGAGAGGGGCGTGCCCCACGGTTTGGGAACCACTGGTCTAATCCCACTCTACCACTGCCAGTTTGACAGCAGCAGTTGCACCACCTCCCAGTCACATGGCAATGTGCTCTCCTCTCTGCCCATGGGGTAATACAATTCACACTCTGCAATGGGCTGCTGCTTTATCCTGGAGATCTGAGAACTTCCTTCTCGTTACAGTGTGTGATCAGAGATCATACAGGGTGCTCCTCTGAGTGAACCAGCTTAGCTCACGAGTTAACGGGTTGTCACATATATCACACTTGATCAGCGGCTGGAAAAAAATTCATTGATTGCATTTTGGTGGGGGAAGAAACCATGTGTGTGTCCTTCTGACTGTCACAGGCATTCCCCTCTGTCACAGGGCACTTCTTCAGCTACCCAGTGAGTAGCACAGCCTCGCCTGTGTTCATGGTTCTCCGTCACAAACACCAACTATCCGTTTCTGGCCCACTACAGGCCCCTGTAGCCCTCTGTTTCCAAACAGGACAGGACACAGCACAGGTACACAGTGGGAGGAGCACACAGCTTCTCTCCTCCACCCAGGTCCCCCCCCCCCCATCCCCCAAGCTCCCCCTTTTACTTCCTGGTCCTCCCAATTGTATATCCTCCCAGGAACTAAGCCAGTTACCTGTTAGCTCAGCACTGGCCCCCAAGTGTCAGTAATCCCCACCAGTAACAGGTTGGTAGTCTCCAATTACGCCTGCAGCCTTCAGTGACCAGTGTGCTGCAGCCAGCACTCTGTCACACCCTCCTTGCTGAACTTGCCCAGGGTAGGTTTTTGTCAGCAAGTTATGTCTCTTCTAGACAAGAGGGTGTCTGTGTGAGAGGAGAATGGCAGAGAAACCAAAGAGTGCTACAAAGAAAACCAACAAAAGACACTCTTGTGACAAGGAGCCCAAACTTTCTAGACCGTTGTATCTAACATGCCGTGCCCCTGAAGCATCATCTCTCTCTGAAGCAGCACAGGTCCTCAGGCTGACAGCAGGCCACCTCCGGCCTAAGAGCCAGCAGACCAGGTTGTTAAGGGTTGTTATCCTTCCCCTTTCTCTTCCCTGTGTCCACTCTCACATGACCACAAACACTGTCACAGCCTGGGACCGGCGTAAAGGTGAAGCCTGGAAAGCCAGCTCCAGAGAGAAGAATAAAGGCCATTGTTAAGGTTCTGTAGGTCCTGCTGGTGACGGTCATGGCTCCTATTCCTGAGGTTCCTGCTTTTCATATTTGTTTTGACATTATTAGCCTCTCCTTCAAGGACCTGGTGTAGAAAAGCTCTAGATCTCTCTGAAGTAACCCCTGGCAATATGGGTCCAGATTTTTCTGACGCCGAGTGTCTCTGTGAGGAGCCTCTAGACCAGTCTCACCATTTTGCTCTGGAAGACCAACCACTCCCATGTAGAAATATTCACCCTGCCTCCTCCTGCAGAAATCAAAGGGCTGCCTAAGCTTTGGGGAAATTAAACCAGCAGCATTATGCCATCATTGTGTAAGTGTGACATAAGCAAAAACCCATCAGAGGGGTGAGCTGAGCCTGTTTCCTTGGAGAAATACCATTTACTAGTAAGCAAAGTATTGTGTCCATCACATGTCTAACCTTAAGAATGTGAGTAATCCCGTGGAAGTCGCATGCTTAAATCCTTTGCTGGATAGGGGCCTAGACAAATGGATTGCTGCTGTATGTCATTTTAAAGCTTTGTTGCTTGTCCCCTGCTCCCCTCTCTCTCAGATTGCGGTGGAGGTGACCAAGTCATTCATTGAGTACATCAAGAGCCAACCGATTGTGTTTGAGGTGTTTGGGCATTATCAGCAACATCCCTTCCCTCCTCTCTGCAAGGACGTGCTCAGGTCAGTGTGGTGTAGGGAAGGGGTAACATCCAGAGGATGGGTTCACCCCTCTTGTTGACTCAGACTTATTTTTTAACATTGTAACCAGAGCCTCATGTAGCATGGACCTAGGATCTGATAAAGCCTATCCAAATCAATGGGAGTCGTTCCATTGGTTTCTGTGGGCTATGGATCAGGTCTATAAATTCTGTACAAACACTCTCTGGTATCTACAGCTTAGCAGTACTGAATTCTGCAGCATCATGAAGCTTTAGCTAAGAAGCCAGAGTTTTCCATTCCTCTAACATGTATGAAAATAAAGATGAATCTTACTAAATTCTTGGCCTCAAAATCATGTGTCAGTGAGTTCCACAGTCGAATGAGATGTTGCCTGCAAAAGTATATCCTTTTGTTGGTTTTGAGTTTTCTACCTTCCAACTTCATAGTGTCCCCTTGTTCTTGTGTTGTGAGATGGGGAGGAGGGGAGCTTCAGCTCTACCTTCTCTAAACCAGTCATTTATTTTGCATGCATTCTTTCATCTGAGTCTCTTCTCTCCATAGCCCACTGAGACCATCCCGACGCCACTTCCCCCGGGTCATGCCATTGTCCAAGCCAGGTAGGCCATTGTTTTTCCCCTTCTAAAGTACATTAGGCTTCAGAAGCCACAACTTGGAAGCACGTGGGAATTGGGGGAGAATTGGTCATTCCTTGCTGGACTGCTCTGCGATAACACCATGGTCACCTGGTTTTGTACGGAGTAAGGGTCTGCGTGATGGGAGATGGTGTTTCGATAACAGGCTGAATTGTCTGTGGGTTCTCATGCTGTTTAGCTTGATGCATTGCATAATGTTCTTAAGATGGCTTCTGTAAATCAAGCCACTCCAGTGGGGGAAGGAGACCTTTCCAGGCTAGCCAGTATTCGTGGCGTATTGGTTTTTTGACATGTCCATAGAGCCAGCCATGGTGTGTAGCTCTACAGAGAAACCATTCGTCTGGGAAACTCCTGGGTGTTGCAGGTGGGGGGAGCTATTTCTGTGGGAATGTTCAGCAGAGAGCAGTCCTGGTGGTGAGATGAACAGGTAGGCCTGATGACGCTAGCCACCTTCCCTTTTGCATTTGCTGCAGAAAGGGGCCCAGATGGCGATGACTGAGTGTAAAGCGGGGTGCTGGCTGGAGCGGCCCGTGGGCCGCACAGTAAAGTGATGGCTAGCACAGGTGGTTTGGTTTTTTACTGGACCAGGGTTACTGCCCTGTGGTAACTCGGTAGCAGAGAACAGGACCTCAGAAAATCTCGACAGTATCAAGAAATCAGCGCAGGATAATTCACAGCGCTCTAAACCTGCCAAGTCTGCTCATTAGGATCTGGTTAGCTCAGAAGTAGGCCTAGCCACTGGCATGCTGAGTACCTCCTGCACTCCAGCAATCCTTCCTCATCCCTTTCCCTTTCTGCAGGGAAGCCCCCATCCTTTCACTAAACGTTGTCATCCATGAAGAGCCATTCCTTGGTGGCTCACTAGCACTGTAACCTCAGTGTTGAGTATTCCACTCAGGGCTGTCCCTAGCTATTCTGGGGCCCTACGCAGCCCATCCGCTGCCAGGCCTGTGCGAGGGGGGTCAGGGGGGCTGTCCCCAGGACTCCGTGGGGGGGGGGCCGGGGCTGGGTTGGGGGGCAAGGGGGAACCACCCCCCCAGCACTCACCAGCGGCGTGACTGGAGCCGGGTCTGCACTTCCCACCACCGATGAGTACAGACCCGGCCCTGCTGCAGAGCTCAGGGGAGTGGGAGCGGGGCTGGGGCGGAGCAGGGGTGGGAAGAGGCGGGGCTGGGGTGGGGAAGGGGCGGGGCGGGGGCAGAGTAGGGCGGGGGCCCTGGGGCAGAGTCGGAGAAGGGGCTGGAGCAGCATGCAGCAGCGCAGGGCACCAGGAAATTTGGTGCCCCAAATTTCCTGGTGCCCTACACAGCTGCGTACTTTACGTATGGGTAAGGATGGCCCTGATTCCACTTGTTATAGGAAAGGGTTCCTGGACTGAAATTAAATTGCCTCCCGTCGGCATGCACATCCAGACTGCAGAATACCCATCCTGGGGTGTCTCCCCTTCCTTCACTCTTACATCTCCCCTCCCCCTTGTTGGGCAGAGACGTGCTACCAGCTCTGTCCTGGCACACATTGATTTGAGTGGGACACCTGTTTAAAGCAGTGGCTCAGAGGGCTCAGGAGTGGTTAAAGAGTGCTGAAGTGTGCAGCATTGGCAAAGCAGACTGCATCCCCGTCCCCACAATGTCCATTCACTCCCACTCTGTGTCTCAACCGTTTTGCTTTGTTTTGGGGTTTCTGTTTGTTTCCCTTCCCTCCACCCTGAAGAGCATGAAAAATCCCCCCAGCTGATAAAATATTTGGTGCCCGATGTGCTAGCCGGCTCGCTTCTGGATGCGCTCTCTGGGCATGCTCTCTCTGCTGCTAGCTCAGCCACCTCGTTCCTTCTGCGAGAGAGGGAGGAGTCCAGCCCTGTGCACCCCCCGACCGCCTGTAATGAACTGTGCTGTGAGAAAGGCTCCGAAACCTGGTTGGTTCCTGGACACCACTGTGGAAGATCCCACTGCTACTCGGGTTTCTAGCCATGCCTCCCCTGGGGAATGTGTCCATGTAATGCTTGGGGGACACTCACAGAGCTCAGTACTGAATGGCATTGCCATGCCTGTTCCCAAAGCAATACACACTTTTCTGAGGCTACTTGCATTTTTCATTTCGGCACAGTTCATTACAGGCGGGGGAGGGGGGGACAACAGGGCTGGACTCCTCCCTCTCTCGCAGAAGGAACGAGGTGGCTGAGCTAGCAGCAGAGAGAGCATGCCCAGAGAGCGCATCCAGAAGCGAGCCGGCTAGCACATTGGGCACCAAATATTTTAGCATCTGACACCCGAGTCCCAGTGGTTTTCCTCGCAGCCTAGTGTCTTGGTTTGCTGTTGCCTCTGTGTGTCGTGCCTCATCGTCCTGTGATTTGGGGTCAGGCCTCTGGCTGGAAGGGCCTGAGGGGGCTGGCCTTTCAGAGGGCGATGCTCAGCCAGAGCTTAGCAAAAGCAGCAGTCACTTCTTCTGTGTGTGTCTCATCTCTCATATACATTGTGTGGGCCTGATCCTTTGTACCCTTGCTCCCTACATCGGCCAGCTGGCTTCAGTGGGACTACGGACAGGAGTATGGGTTCACAGAATCTGACTGGGTGCATGTGTTAGTGCATGTTCTCCCCCCTTCTCTTGGCATGTTGGGGGTCAGAGGTCATCTCCAGCTTGGGCTAGATCTCGGCTAGCTGTTCTCCTAGACAGTCACTGCCAGTGGTCCTGGCTCTGACTGACACACATCTCCTGAGTGGTGCAGTGAGTCCAGCTCACACGTCAGCAGCTTCTCCTTTCCTCTTTGTAAGTCTTATTTTCTGCCCGCCGTAGTGCCAGCGACGAAGCTGAGCACCCTGGCGCGCCCCAGCGCCGGGCCCTGCCAGTGCAAATACGATCTGATGGTCTTCTTTGAGATCTGCGAGCTGGAGGCCAATGGCGAGTAAGTACCGTCCCCTGCTGAGGGCTGACCAGGGAACCAGAGTGGCCTACTGTCGGGGGACCCCATCCTGGGGAGCTGTAGGGGGAGTCCTACCCTGGAGAGCTCACCTGTAAGGGAAGGTCTAGATAATACTTAGTCCTCCCATGAGTGCAGGGGACTGGACTAGATGACCTCTTGAGGTCCCTTCCAGGCCTATGATTCTATGCCAAACCACAGTGTCACTTTTTGAGATGTCCCTTGCAAAATGGAACAAGTTTCTCCCCAAAGCACAGTGTGGTCCAAAGAGCTATGAGAATTGTGCTGATGTAGCTGCCTCATGCAGAACAACGAGAAGAGGAAATCAGACAGTAATACAATTACCTTCCCACCCCAGCAGCCAGCCACAGCTGTTGATTTAATTACAGCTCTTCCAGATGAAAGGTCTACTGTATGTGGAAGCAGCTGCCCCAGTGCCAGGTACAGGGCACATGTAGGGGGCCCTGCACTATCAGCAGCAGCCTTTGAATTGCTTGGTAGCTGTAGGAAGAGCCTGGGGAGAATCTTTCCAAAGCACACTCATTAATGAGCCTATGTGCAGCTAAGGGATCTTACAGGGGTCTTCAGAACTGCCACAGCGGAAGGAGCATGGGCCTCCTTATGCATTCCAGGTGGGATTTGCTGGTGAAAGATTGACAAGATGTTGGGAGTCAGGGCAATAAGTGATGCAATAAAAATAGCCTGCCACAAGTAAACAAATGAGGGACATGGGAGTGGCGCTAGCATGCAGCTGGGGAGCACAGGACAAATGCAGCAAAAAAGCAGTTGCAAACGAACCACAGTTCCTTGGGCTAGTGCTTGTAATGGCTTGTCTAGACTCTCACCTCCAGCCTAGAGTTCTCATTTGAAGGAGTTTTTTATGCCCCGTCTGTTTGGTGTCACACCGATAGTGAAGACGTCTCATATCTGCCCTGCTCCCACAGCCGCCTCTTTTGGGGATTCACACAAGAGATTCGGTGATGGTGGTTCATCGATAATTTGCAAATGTGGCTGCTTTTAGGTGACCCACGCAGGAGGCAGACACAACACCATGGGATTTGGGGGAGCAGTCACATGGCGCCAAAGGGAATTCTCACAGGGATCCATTGGAAAACCAAACCATGGGTTTCAAAAAATGTTGGCACAAAGTATTGGTTGGGCAATTGGGCATAACAAATAAATGTCTAAAATCACAGTCTGGTTGTGGGTAATTCCCAGCCAGGACCAACAGGCAAAACTCAGCCAATAAAGGATTCAAGCACCTCTGAGTCTGGGATGCTCTAAAGGGCTCCACTGATGATCAGAGACATCCAGTCACCTGCTGTTGCTGCTTCTGGGAGAAAGTCTGTTCGCTCCTAGGCATGGCCCCTATGGAGTCTGGGCCTGTCCCGCCTGTGTCTGGTCTCCGGTGTGCTGGGCTGGGCTCAGGACATTGGAATGCCCTTTTGCCAGCTGAAGGGCTGAGCCCAAATCTCTTCCAATCATCAGGACCCTCCATGCATGGCACTGGCAACACAAATGGGAATCACAAGAGGGTGTGTGTGTGTGTGTGCGCGCGCGCCCTAGGGTCCTGTGATGTGCACGTGTGTGAGAGCTTGTGCCCTGGGGAGTGCGTGTGTGAGAGCCCTTGTGTCCTGGGGGGTGCGTGTGTGAGAGCCCTCTTGTCCTGGGGGGTACATGTGTGAAATCCCCCAGGCCTTGGGGAGGGCGAGTGTGAGATACCCCGGGACCTCTGGGGTGCGAGTCTGAGATTCCCCCAGGCCGTGGGGGTGCGTTGCTTGTGTGAGATCCGCCGGACTCTGTGGGGTGCTTGTGTGAGTTCCCCGTGGCCCTGGAAGGTGGGTGGGTGAGATCCCCCGGGCCCTAGGGGGTGCATGTGTGAGATCCCACAGGTCTTGGGGGGTGCCTGTGTCAAATTCCCTGGGCCCTGGGGGTGCATATATCAGATCCCCCAGGCCCTGAGGGGTGTGTGTGTGTGACATCCCCCAGGCCCTGGGGGTGCATTTGTCAGATTCCCCCAGACACTGGGGATGTGTGTGTGAGATCCCCCAGGACTTGGGGGGGGGGGTGAGATCCCCTGGGCCCTGGGGGGTTCGTGTGTCAGATCCCCCGAGCTCTGGGGGGTTCATGTGTCAGATCCCCCAGGCCTTGTGGGGTGCTTGTGTGAGATCACCTGGGCCATGTGGGGTGCGTGAGATCCCCCCAAGCCCTGGGGGGTGCGAGTGTAAGATCCCCCAGGCCCTGGGGATACGTGTATGAGATCCCCTGGGCCCTTAGGTGTGCATGTGTGAGATCCCCTGGGCCTTGTGGAGTGCGTGTGTGAGATCCCCCGGGCCCTGGGGAGGGCATGAGTCTGATCCTCTGGACCCTTGGGGGATGAGTGTGTGAGATCCCCCAGGACCTGTGGAGTGTGTGTGTGAGATCCCCCAGACCCTGTGGGGTGCGTGTGTCAGATCCCCCAGGACTATGGGGTGCAAATGTCTGAGATCCCCTGTACTCTGGGGGGGTGCATGTGTCCAGTCCCACAGGTCCTGGGGGGTGCCTGTCTCAAATTTCCTGGGCCCTGGGGGTGCATGTGTGAGGTCCTCCGGACCTTGTGGAGTGCGTGTGTGAGATCCCCCAGGCCCTGCGGGATGCGTGGATGAGATCCCCCAGGCCCTGGGGGGGTGAATGGGTGAGATCCCCCGAGCTCTCTGGTGTGCATGTGTGAGATCCCCCGGGCCCTGGGGGATGCGAGTGTGAGATCCCTCCGGCCATGGGAGCTGCATGGGTGAGATCCCCCAAGACCTGTTGGGCATGTAGGTGAGATCCCCCGAACCCTGGAGGGTGCATGTGTGAGATCCCCTGGGCCCTATGGGATGCATGTGTCAGATCCCCCAGGCCCTGGGAGGATATGTGTGTCAGATCCCCAGGACCTATGGGTTGCGTGTGTGAGATCCCCGAGGCCCTGTGTGGTGCATTTGTCAGGTCCCCAAGACCCTGGGGGTCTGTGTGTGTGATTCCCCAGGACTTCGGGGTGCAAGTGTCTGAGATCCTCCGGACTTTGAGGGGTCCGTGTGTGAGTTCCCCCGTACTGTGGGGGGTGCATGTGTGAGATCCCCCAGGAGCTATGGGGTGCATGTGTCCGATCCCTAAGGTCCTGGAGGGTGTCTGTGTCAAATTCCCCAGGCCCTGGGGGGTGCATGTGTCAGATCTTCCGGGTCCTGGGGGGTGCGTCTGTCAGATCCCCCAGACCCTGGGAGTATGCGTATGTGAGATCCCCCGGGCCCTGTGGGGCATAGGCGCTGACTCCGTGGGTGCTCTGGGGCTGGAGCACCCACAGGGAAAAATTAGTGGGTGCGCTGCAGCTGCCAAGCTCCCCACTCCTCCTCCCCCCTCCCCCGAACGCACTGCATCCCTGCTCCTCACCCTCCCTCCCAGCACTTCCTGCTGCACTGCCGCCTAACAGCTGTTTGGCGATGCTTACGACTTTCTGGGATTGAGGTGGAGGAGCGGGGACACGGCATGCTCAGGGGAGGAGGCGGAGAAGAGGCGGGGCAGGGGAGGGGACTTGAGGTAAGGGGGTGGAATGGGGGCGGGGTGAGGGTGGTGTAGGGGCGGAGCCAGGGGTGTGGTGGGGGTCGAGCACCCACCGGGAATAGAGGAAGTCATCACCTATGCTGGGGGATGGGTGAGATCCCCTGAGCCTTGGCTGTGTCCGTATGTGAGATCCTCCAGTACCTGTTGGGTGTCTGTGTGAGATCCCCCAGTGACTGGGGGTGCGTGTGTGAGATCCCTGGCCTTTGGGGGTGGATATTTGAGATCCCCAGGGCCCTAGGGAGTGAGTGTACGATCCTCCAGGTCTTGGGGGTGCGTGTGTGAGATCCCACAGGACCGCTGGGGTGCATGTGTGAGATCCCCCGGGCTCTCTGGTGTAAAAGTGTGAGATCTCCTGGGCTTTGGGAAGTGCATGGGTGAGATCCCCCTGGCCCTGGGGTGTGCGTGTGTGAGGTCCCCAGGCAATGGGGGCTGCGAGTGTGAGATCCCCTGGGCTCTGAGTGGGACATGTGTGAGATCCCCTGGGATCTGTGGGTGTGTGTGTCAGATCCCTCAGGATCTCAGGGGATGCGAGTGTGAGTTCCCCCGGGCCCTCGGAGGATGCGAATGCGAGATCCCCCTGGCCCTGGGGGTTACATGGGTGAGATCCCCTGGGCCCTGGGGATTGGTGTGTGAGATCCCCTGGACCCAGGGGGGTGCATTTGTGAGATCCCCTGGGCCCTGGGGGGAGCATGTGTGAGATCCCCAGGGACTTGCGGGGTGCGTGTGTGAGATCCCCCAGACCCTGGGGTGGCGGGGTGAGATCATCCAGGCCCTGACATGGGGAGGAGCACCTCCATCTCAGATCACATCTCACTGATCTTCCCTTTTTCAGTTACATTCCTGCCGTCGTTGATCACCGTGGAGGGATGCCGTGCCTCGGAACCTTCCTGCTCCACCAGGTATGGTCCTTGCCCTGCTCCTTGTCCCTGTGCCGCTCCACTGGCCCATCTTCCTAATCCCCATAACAACTGGGTGTTGGGCTGTTGGTTTTAACCACTGCCCTTTTCTCTCTGGCATGGTGCTGACAGGGAATCCAGAGGAGGATCACCGTGACGTTAGTGCATGAAAACAGCAGCCTCGTCCGCTGGAAAGAAGTGCGAGAGCTGGTTGTAGGTAAGCAGAGTTGCTGGTTGGCAGGGTCTGAGCAGACGCCTCACTCCTGCATCCTCACGCCTGTGTGCTCCCTCCCATTCCCTTCTCTCCCATAATCTCTTCTCCCTCATACTTTGTCCAGGCTCCCGCTCCACCAACTCTGTCAGGCCTGTTGTGGGAAATAATGCAGATGATCGCTGGGGGCCGGCTGGCACCCCCTGTACTCATGCTCAGCAGCACATCACTCAGCAAGGCGCCCCCTCCTTGAGTACCGAGGAGCCAAGGCTGCACCGCTAGGCCCTTGCTGCTGCAGCAGGGGTCCCGGGGTGGATCCTCAGCTGCTGTCAATGGTCAGAGTTCCATTTACTTCAATGGAAATTGCCACCAGCTGAGGCTGTGCCCCCATTATTCTTGCCAGCACCCCAGATTAGACTGGGGGACCTCTGCCAGCTCTTTGAGCCCCCATCTGGGGAAGTGGGGCCCTCTCGGTGCCTGCTCTCTACCCGGGGCATAGTGGAGGGGAAGGGGCAAGGAGCCTCTCTCATTGCATAGCCCATGTAAAGGCCAGACTATGCTTTGGGGAGCTCAGGAGTGGCTCCATCCATATGTCCTTACAGGTAGGGGAGGGGACAAGATGGAAGGACATGCCTCCCCCTCTCCATGGCCTTTGGAGGCTACTGGCCTTTGGGGCTGGCCGGCCATATGGAAGGGAGTGAGCCAGACCTGCAGAGGGGTGTAGTAGCAGGCACACAGAGCTCCTCCTAGTGGTCCCGCTGGAGCCATGCACCCTCCCACCCATGGGGATGAGCCTGGGCAGTCTGGTCTCTAGGTTTTAGCAGGAGGGGATGGATATAGGGGCCTGTCCCAAGGGGCTGAAGGAGGATATGATGCTGACATTAAGCATCTTCCCCCGAGTCTCACCTTTACCATTTACTCTGCTATGCAGCTTGGAACTATGAACCATCCCCATTGAGCTGTTCCCTCCGCCCCGCTGCCCATCCTCCAAACGGTGTGTTTTGACGTGTGTTGGCAGGTCGGATCCGAAACACCCCAGAAGGGGACGAGTCTCTGATTGACCCCAACATCTTGTCTCTGAACATCCTGTCGTCTGGATATGTCAACCCCTCCCAGGATGATCGGTGAGTCTGGCCTGGCTTTGCTGTCTCTTCACTTTGCCCAGCTGACCTGTGGCGCTAGGCAATGTCTGGTCCAGTTAGGTTGACAAGGGCTGTCTGTGTTTATGGGGGCTTCGCTCCCTCCCGCCCCCAAGGTCTTGCCCATCAGGGCCTTCTTGCTGCTGCAGGACCACTTAGGGGCGGTGACTGTGCTGCGTCTGGGCACTGGCAGGATGGCGACATGGCTGCACCACAAGGTAGGAACAGTGGAAAATGCACAGAAGCCCAAGGATTCGAGGTGGGCTTCCCCAAATCCCGCCACACACAAACACACACTCTGATGGCGTCTAAGATCATTATCTGGCTGACAGCTTTCACCCAAGGCTGCTGAGGCAAGTCTTCCTTGCACCACCCAGGGCTGCCATGGGCATGTGCCAAAGGGGGCCTCACCAACCAGTGACATTTTCAAAATATTACATCAACATCAAAGGAGTCTTTGGATTTTCACCCACCTGCGGATTTTAAGATGCCATCGCCGTCCCTGTGTTGTAGCAGCATTGACCCAGGGTGGTGAGGCCCCATGGCCCTACATTCACCTGATAGGCAGTGTTATATGCACCTCCCTTTAGATGCTGAGACTCTCACCTAGGCTTCTCTGAGACCCAGTATAGCTGTGTGCTGCAGTGTCAGTCAGGTGCCTATAGGGGCTCTGCTAGTGCTGATGCTTTTGGCTAAGTCATAAGGGGGGGCAGCAAACACCAGAACTCGGAACCCTAGCAGCAACCTGGGAATGAATAACCAGTCAGTAGGTCAGTAGTGGCTGTGGAGCGACTGCTACTGGCACTACAGAGCAGAGCTCCAGGTCACTGCTGCAGCGCAGGGTAGCCCCAGCAAGATGTCTAGCCTGGAGAGCTGTCACGGGTCCACGCTGGGATGGATTCTGGGTGGAAGTGGTTGTACAGTGTGTTTTAGGAGACGATTGGGAGCACATCCAGCAGGAAGCGGGGGCAGTCACTAGTCACAGTGCTTGCTTGTAATTCGCATAGAGGAGATGAGAGATCATCACTAGCAACACAGGGAACATCCGCATTGTGTGTGGCCATCGTGAAGCATTGCACTGCCTGTCCTTGGAGCATGGCAGGAAGGAAACTGAGCTGGTCCCTGTCACAGCTTCCTTCCTTGCATCCTTGGGGACATCTCCTCTTCCTTTCTCCTGCCAGGGCTGCCCTGCCTATGGGCACATGGTGTAATTGAGGGAATACAGTTTAAAACCCAGAAAGCTCAGTGCAGGAGAAATGGTCAGTCCCACTGTGACCTGTGTGCTCACTTACATAATCTGCCTCACCCAGCAATGCCAGCAGAGCCCTTCGCCAGCTGGGTGGATGACCAAGGGGGCAAGAGCAAGACAGCAGGTTGCTGGAGTGAGTATATGAGAGGAGTGGGGAAGGGCAAGGGTGGGCCAGGCGAAACGTGAGTCACGTGACAAGCAGTTGCGTCTGAAGAGTCACTGAGCAGTGAGTGACCCTGAGGAAAGGATTGGATCAGGGCAGTAGGGCAGGCTCCACTGCATGCTGTCAGACGCCATGCAGGTGACGCTGCGTGAGGGTGACAGCAGCAGTGTTCAGAGGGAGCAGGGACTCGGAACAGCTGCACTGCAGCACCTCTCTGGGTAGCTCAGATCGTTTGTTCCTGCCTGTCCTGAGCAAGACAGAAATTGATACAAACAAACACAGTGTAATAGATGCAGTGTTTCTCAACCTTTTGATACCAAGGACCAGCTTGCTGCCTTCCTAAACTGTATCAGGGAAATCTCAGAGCCGGCGCCAGTCCACGGACCGGTCATTGAGAAACAGTGTAGCAGACAGCTGGAAGAATTAGGGGTAGATCCTGAAATAGTATAAATCAGGACCATTGATTTCATTGGAGCCACATCAATTTGCACCAGCTGGGGATCTGACCCATTAAATCTGACATAGCACAGTGTGACTGCAGTGCTCATTCTTTTGCCCTACTCCACACATGAGAGCAATGCTGTGGCACCTTGGGAATTTCTCCCTCTTCTTCCTCCCTGTTTGAGCCCTGCACGCTAGAAGAGGTCATTCTGGGCAGGGGATTTCAGTCCTGGCATGGAGTTCTCCAGAGAGTGGAGAGGTGCTTGTTTGCAGAGTTGCTTGTCACAACACTGTTTACCAAGCAAAGGGGAGGCGTTGCTTACAACTTGAGGGACCCAGGGCATCAGGTTTGTATCTAGCTTTCTGTCCCAGAATCTAAACTGGGTGTGTGAAAATGCACTGCTCTCTCCCAGGGATGGAAACCTTGGATCACTGCCTCTCTCCACAACTGGGACCAGAAGCATGGGCAGAAGGGGTGGTGCAGGGAGGAGGAGGGGTAACTGGAACATGTGAAAAGGAAAAGAGGATTGAATTTCCACAGGACAATGGAAGGAAACATCTTCACAAATTCCCTTTGCTTCAACCCTGCATGGGCTTTTTGCTTGGTTTGATCCTAACAATTGGGAGATCCTGGATGTAGGGAGAAAGGGATGAGAGCCAATGGAATGGGATGTATCTAACCCTCTTTCTGAACTGCTTTTGCTCCCTGCTTTGCTCTTGTATGTCCTTCAGTCTTCATTGCAGCAAGCAGGCCCTGGGACCATCCCCTGGACTGCCCTTCTCCCCCACCACTGATGTTTCAGTGTAAGTTGTTCCTGAGGAGAACCAGGAAAGGCCTCACTGTGGAAGTGTTAGCTAGGCCCTCAAGGAGTTGGCTTTAGCCTGTAGTGCCAGCAGCCCCAGACTCTTCCCCCACAGGGTCAGGCATGCTTTAGGTTTCCACTGCAAATAGCCCCTGCAGCTAGGATTGTCACTCCTGCTCCTCACCCTAGCCAGCCCAGATAAGGATGTTTTTTGTTCACACTCTGTCACCACCGTCAGGAGGGGGATCTGGTCTCTTCCCCTTTACGACTCCCCAGACAACAACCCAGGCCACGGCCGTTGCCCCTCAGCACGCTGCTCACACATCCACCCATGCCTACAAGGTGTCTGGCCCCTTGGCTGCAACCCTGCTGCCCTGCATGAGGCAAGGAAGGGCAGCAGGGGCTGCGTGGAGGCATTAGGCATCTGAATCACTTCCTTACAATGCTGCTGCTGCTGCTGCTGCCATCCATTTGAACCCACACTAACCATGTGATTGTTTTGTGTTTTTGCAGGCAGTTTCTTGATTCGGATATGCCTAGGTAGTATTTGTTTCCCTTGGGTTTTTTTCTTCACTTCCTCTCCCCTCCTTGGCACTCTTCCTCCCCCTCAGAGACAGAACTTTAATTTCCAGACACTCCTTCCATTGGCTTCCCTTTCTCTTCCACGTCTCTGGGCTGCTCTTTTGTTCCGTTTCTGTCCCTTGGGCTTCCCTGTTTGTTTTGATTGCTCTCTCGTTAGCCTCTGTTCCTCTGGCTGGCTTTTCCTCCGATTTTGCTGCTGTTGTAACTTAGTGACATTTGGCAAAGACCATCCTTCCCCCTCTTGTACCCTCTTCCAGCTTGGGCCCAGGAGCAGTTTTGGGGAGCTGGGAGCTGACCCAGGCTGCGTGAGAGGCTAGACTGCAGTGCGTGGATGGGGAGGGCACTTTGGAAAAGATACTGTATGAAGGATAGAAAGAGTAGAGAAATGGAAGCAACATAGCTGAGTTTGGGAGCAATGTACAAGCTGCATGTAGAAGGAAGGGACATAACAGGTGAAACCCTGGCTTCACTGAAGTTGGTGGGAGTTTTGCCATTGTCTCCAGTGAGGCAGGATTTCACCCAAGCTTGTTATTCTCTGGCCTGCTTGACAGAATTTCCACCAAAGAAACCTCCGTGGAGTCACAGATTCACTGGCTTGAATTCTCAGTTTTGCTAAGGCCCCTTAACATCCCTCTGCAAATTTAATGGGGCCTCAAAGTGAACACCCATTTTAAGGCCCCTTTCCACTGCCAGATCAGTATAACTTGGCATAGCTGAAAATCAGGCCCCAAGGTTTTTAAGGTCAGAAAGGATTATCATAGAATATCACAGGAGATTATCTAGTCCAACCCCCTGCTCAAAGGGGGACCAATCTCCAGACAGATTTTTGCCCCAGATCCCTAAATGGCCCCCTCAAGGATTGAGCTCACAACCCTGGGTTTAGCAAGCCAATGCTCAAACCACTGAGCTATCCCTTTTCCCTTCAGCCTATCATCATCTGATCATCTGGTCTGACCCTCTGAGTGCTGAAGGGAGATAACAGGCCAGATCCTCAGCTGGTGTAGAGCAGCATGGCTCCATTGCAGGTTTACACCAGCTGAAGGGCTGGCCCCTTGTTCTTTGGACATTACCAGGGGAAAGTGTTTGGAACTGTAAGTTCATGCACTCTCTTCTCAGAGTCAAATCTTGATACGATCGCAGCCTGCAGGCTGCAGGGATACTGGGGTCATCTTATTACTGTGTAATAGTTTTACTATTGAATTGACTTCAGTGGAGCTGTGCCAGTTAATACCAAGGGGGATCTGGCCCACTGAAATCAATGGAGCTGTGCCAATTTATACCAATCGGGGATATGGCCCTCTGTACGTGCATACACACAAGAAGCAGTGCTAAGGTATGTTCAACCTTAGCACTGGTTCTCTTGACTTTTGAATGTATAATTGTGCATAATTGTCAGATAATTTTGGTTTTTTTGCATGTAATTTAGTTTTGTTTAAAGAAAAGTTCCCAGTTCCATAACTAATGGGCACCAGCCAGCAAAGGGTAACTGGTGCCTGTCAATATCATTAATAAACTGCTCACTTGTGGGGAGGGGAGGAGGAAAAGGCAGAGATATAAAGGCAGAGGGGAGGCTATAGGGAAATAGGTGCACAGGGGAGACTGTGGGGATATATATAGATATGTGTAGATGCTATATATACCATTGCGATGGGGGTGCTGGAAATACAGAAGCAGGCAACAAAAAGTAGGAAGAGGCAAAGAGCAGATGGGAGAAGTGGAAAGATGAGACTATTAAAAAGCCAAAAAA